AATAGAACCAGAATCATTGCCTCTGTTATCAATTCTCTATCAAATCCAGCTGTTGTCGCTGCAAAATTTCAACCGGGTGCCTTGTTGCCAGAAAAGTCTAATCTTGTTGCCATAGAACTAAATGAGGGTAATCTCACATTCATCCAACACCACGAAGAGGATGCCAGTCAGCACAGATAGCGCTGGAGGACTAAAACCCCAGTGTGAACCAGTAATTGCCAACCTAATGGCACTATTCATCATCGAAGCCCCCTCCTCAGACACAGGAAAACAAATTGACACAGAAATCAATTCATTCATCACACAAAAAAAAATTGTAGAACAAGCTGAGTAGCAGAAAGCGAAATTATAGCAAAGTATATTTTATAGCCAGTTTCCTGATATCAGTTAAATACTAGCACGTTTGAGGACTTCACCATTTGGAATGATGTCCAGTACAACACTACTTACTTGACCAGCAGGGTCATCCACCAAAGTGGCTTTCAACTCAACACGCAAACCGTTTCTCAATCTAATTATAAAAACAACATTGATTCATAATTTGATTAATACATCCTATATCACAGCTGACAAGATGCCAACAAGCTTGTTTCTTTGTATGTTCCACAGCTTTAACTGGACTAGCCTCCGCACTAGAAGATGTCTGGATGGAAGCGTCCCGGAATAGAGTTGTTTTGCTGAGCCTGGTGCAAATGCATTGTCAAAGCATAATTATTCACCTGCAACGATGACCATTAAATTAGGAATAATGAGTAGACAATCTTGTTTGCATTCATTCGATAAAGAACACAGAAAAGGAACATAAGAAGACTTTATTCTCTTATCTGTATATGTATGGGGCACTATGCAGTTGTTCACAAAATTACTCAAGTTCAGAGTATGAATAACAGGAAAAAGAATAATACAGGTAAACTGCAACGTGCATAGCAGTAATGCAACATCTTTATGCCAATATTTTCTTTTACCTAAAAATACAGGTGCTACTAGCTTGAACTAATGACTATAGAATATTTTACTAGACAATATAGAAGTACGCTTCAATCATTGTTTTAAAGTTAAACTTGCAGTTTTCTCGATGATCTGCACTGCTACCAACATAAACAAGTACAGCAGACATTCTTAAAGTATAACATATATTATACTCCCTGCATCCCATTTTATGATAATCTTTGCATTTTGGTACGGTAAGAGTATTTGCAATTTCCTTTATGAAGTAAAATTCAGTTAAAGCATAAACAGATGAAAAGGTTGCGAAACAGAGATTAAGTTGGTTACCAAGAGAAACTATACTAAGATCATGGAGCTGACAAAATAAATTGTTGCAATTATATGATATCAATCAATACCACTTTCAAGATTAAACATTCTCTCTATCAAACTAACTTTTCAGTAACTATTAAATAATTTTTAACCACTACAAATCTAACACAAAATTCAGTATAAGTTAGACTTTGTGCCTATGTTCATGACATGCCACAGAGGAAGTATATTACTGTAACGCAGACTATGCAGTATAAGCAGCTAAAAAATATCAGAATAAGTGTTCATTAAAAAAATATGAGAACCAAAATGCAATAAGACCACCACCTGTAAACATAAATCATAAACTAAAAAGACCAGATGGAAAAGGTAAGCCACGTCAGGAAAAGTTGGTCTCTAAAGCTCTAGTTTTTACCTCAAGATTTTTTATTTGTTCCTGATATTGAGCAATCATCTGCTTCAATTGCTGCACTTCCTGGTTTCTATCATCATACTCTTTTTGCCGTTCATGTTGGATAGCAATAGCACGCTTGAAAATGGCCTTTTCTCTAAGGAACACTTCAATTTGCTCTTTCAGCATCACGTTTTCCTGAAAAAAGAAGTGATAAGGTCAACATCTAAAGAATTGAAGGTGAACATCAGAAAATTAGGTCAACAGGATAAATTATCAAGCATGAGTGTCATTTTCGTACTCCAACCAAAGAAGCACTAGACTACCTCAATAAAGAAAAGACATACTGCAGAAAAAACGAAGTAACATGGGTACTCAGCATTCTTTTTTTTGTCAAAAGCTTCGTAAATGTAGCAGAAAAGAGAAGTATGTGAATGCCAGCAATTTCTCCTCCTACAATGACATCAAATGGCTACACCATCTAATACCAACCTTGTGAACATTTTCAGCTGCTGCAACACCAGCATGAACACTAATTGATCGCTCCAGGCTCTCCAACACTCTTGTGGCCCGAGCCCTGGCATCATCTACACTTGTAGCACTCATCATTTCCCTGACAAGCAATTCCACCCATTCTGCACCATCAGCTGGAAGATTATTCTGGAGAGGAGGACCTTCAGATTGAACATCTAGCCCATTAGTTGGTTTTTCTCCTGCATGAGGCTTGATTGATTAGAATTGTGATTCACAAGAAGTAGCATGGTAAACTAATACAATTGAATGGGCAGGAATACAATTGAATAGATATAGAGTATTCTTATAGCCAACCCCAACTAGTCTCGGTTTGAGGCTTCATCCGCTGATTGTTGATTGACAAGGTTAGAAACTTCCCATTAAAAGTTTAAATGTCTCTTTCAGAGACTATAAAGCACAATAAAACTAATACTGATGTCCCCATATGAGGCAGTCTCAAAACACCATTCTAGGAATATTAGTATTGATTCAACAACATGATTTATCAGCACAAATTGATCATCCAACCATCTACTTATGTTGATGCAAGACATAGAGTTGTACTTTTCCCAACAGCTATGCAGCACCATAAAATTAATGAGAGAATCATCACATTCTCATATACTTATCTCTTTGCAACCTCGTAAATGGATATCAATGTATAATACAAGGAATAATAAGCAAGAACAACAGCTACAAACCTGGAGAATCAAAAGAATAAGGTAAATAGGGGAAATAATTATTGGATACATACCATTCTCCATCTCTCCATCAGTCTTTGCATCGGCATACACAAGTTGAAGCTCATGTAACCTCTTAATAGCAGCATCCAAGTCATTGCCGGACTCTTCCAAAGCCTTCTCAATAAGCTAAACAGTACATCATAAAAAGAGAACATACATATATTAGAAATTATTATAAAAGGAAAACATCAAAACTGTCAACTGGGTATCTGCAAAAAAGATTACTAAAACAAGATAAAGAAAATGAGAAAACCTGATTGTCCATATCAGGAAACAAAGTTCTCAGTTGATCGATCAAACTGGTCGGGAACCGAACCGGAGAAGTGGAGGAAGAGCAACGAATCTTCTTGGAAACAGGCGGCGACGCTGATGTCGGCGACGGCGATTGTAAATCTTCGAAGAAAGATCTCTTGCCGCAGACAATTGCAGACATTGTAAATCTCCGTCTGCCACTCGGCAGATCAAACTAATTTTCCTGATTATATGAAATGAAATTGGAATTGGGATTAGGGTTTTGTGAGTTTAAAGGTTTTGGGGATTCGAAGCTTTATCTTGAGGTACACTCAATTTTGGCCTTGGTGGGTTTGGTTCCTCTTTTTATATAGTGGAGATGAGAAGGAGCGTCCCCGAACACGCGCTTAAAGGGGAGAGTGTTTGAATGTCCTTCCGGGAATTCATGGTGGAGATTGTGTCAGTACACCGTCATGTTGCCGCAACTAATGTTTGTCTAAACATATTGAAATTTGAAATACTATAAGAATTTATTTTTCTTTATGATAAGAAAAATATTTATTTTCTTTTGATGTAACGGAGGATATCGGTGGTGCCTAGCTTGATCGAGCAAACACGAAAGGGATTCATTCAGGATTTGAAAGAGATGGCGGAATTTTTTGATCTAACGAGACTTTGAAAATCGAAGAAGACAATAAATTTGAAATGTTAATTACTTAGGAATTTGTTCCCCTATTTTTATTGGAAAAGTCATTTTTTATAGCGGTAAGGAATTTGTTTTCCTAGGGCGACCCCTTTCTCTTTGTCGATTGATTTCACAGGTGCTCCGGCCAACGTCCCCTCGATGTGTTTTTTCTTTTCTTCTCTTTTCACTTGATTTGCCTCTCTCCTAGGGTTACAAGTGTTGACTACTCTAGGGATCTCCCTTGCTAGTTTTGTGTATCGTCTATCTTCAAGTGCTAGCGGCAACTTTCTATCGATAACATGGAATATTTAATTATGATGTTGATGTAGTTCAATGAAAGTATCAATTTGACGGACAACGAATTTAATTAATTTGACGGACAACGAATCTAATTAATTTGATGGACAACGAATCTAATTCAGGTTGTACATCTAAGTTATGGACCACCCCCCTTCTCTTCCTTACTATTATTATTACATATGAGGCAAGGTGATTTTGTTTCCACCTCACGCTCTATTTGGCATGGAGATCGAGGGTTATGGTAGAAAGGTGATAGATATATAGGAGAGTGTTGTCGCATTTCTAGCAATCTAATTTAGGTTTCACATCATTTTTCTCTATCCAATGTGTATTAATATTTATTGCTACTATTGTTTTGTTGTCTCTTCTTCTTTATTACTTTCCTACTTTTTTTAGCCGACGGTGAATCGGCAACAATAATCTCTCTACCCCACAAAGTAAAAGTAAGGATTGCATACATCTTATTCTTCTCAGACGTCACTTGTGACATCACACTGAAAATGTTATTCTTTTTTGTCTAAAAACGACAAAATTTCAAAAATATTTTAACCGATCAAACATACGAAATCTTAGATATTTTTCTCTTGTACCAAACAAAAATTGCTGCAATTTACTTACCAAGTCAAAGTGTCAACCCTCTCTACGATATTCTTCTTTGTTTTGACCTTAAATTTCTTGCTCATTATATAGATCAATTATTACCCCCTAATAAAATTTATATTTATATCTTATTTGATAGTGTGGAAAACCTTTACAATGACAATATAATAACTTAAAACTCTTTCAACAATTAAAAGAAAAAAGGACAAGCCAAGAATTAAAGGTAGTAATACTTGTTTATCATTTTTAAAATACAAAAAGATTCAAGTGTCAGGATTTGAAAATATTAGAAGAATATATGGAAATATAGCACCTAATTGCAACTCAAATGGGCCTACTTCAGTGGGCTACCACCAGACTTCAGGGCTTTAGTACTTATAGAAACTGGGCCTTTCTGCAATTTGTATTGCATAGCCCATTGATGAACCAAATCTTGAATTCCAGCAAAAGCAACCAAGAACTCTGCTGCATCTGTTCTGCTTAACACCTTCTTCACTGCCATTTCCATTGCCTTAAACCTCAAATTTTGGGCCTTAGTAATAACCCTATGAATCTTCTTAAACTCAGATTGTACACAAGCCATTGCAGGTTTACCCTTATGTGCCTCTTTCTTTGGGCCAAATGGGAGATAGAATATGCAATTGGACTGAATCTCAGCCATTTCTTCATCGATCACCGCCTCCTCGATTCGTAACTCGTTGATCAATTGGGGCAATGCCACTTCAATTGCAACTGAATCTGGTAAAGATTTTGAAAGCCCAGATGAATGGGCTAAGTATTGAAGAAGATCCAAGATTGTTGAAGGCCGCCAATCGCCTAACCAAGTCAATGTGGCTAGCTCTGGTGATGGAGTCCATTTAGGCGTGATCAATGTAGCTACATCTTTGAGCCTTGTTGGGACTATAGACCTTTTGTATTGGGCTCGAAAGCGATTGAGTTCTTCTTCGATAAGTCCATCGACTGCCCATCTTGCTTTTAGCTGTTTCTCTAGCCTGGTTGCTCTGTTTATCTGCTCAAGCCTCCATAGCCCCTGTTTTCCGCAAGAAAACTCTTCCCCTGCTTAAAATTAAAAAAAAAAAACAAGAACTTCAATGGGGTCCTGAAATTTTTCAAGAAAACATGAAAAGATTGATTATTTTAACCCAAATGCCAGTTTCTTGATGGAGAAAAACTGGGAATGGAAATGTGTTGTTACCTCGTGTGGTGGCTTCCCATTTTTGTACTGTTTTGCAAATTACAGGTGTGCTGATTCTTTCGAAGTCGATGATCTCATCGTATTCATCTTCATCTTCGAGTATAGATTTTCCTTTGTTAGAATTGACGTCTACGTGATGAGTTCCTTTGAGTTGTTTCCTGCCATTGTAACAAAAAGATGAAATTGAAAGAGAAGAGGAATCAATGTGAAGCAAAAGAAGGGAAAAAATTAAGAAGAGGCGTACAATATGGGCAGAGAAGAAGGCCGCTTCATTTTTCTTCGTTTGCTCTGTTTTCTCTCAGAGATTCAAAATTGTGAAATTTCAGTTACATGTGGAGTCGCGAACAGAAGAGTTATTATATATACTTGATGAAGTTATGCTGGAATGTTAGTTATGATCGTTAAAGAAGTAACGCGCGTAAGATTAAAAAGAAAAAAAGTCCAAGGCAAATTTGAGCAATTTCTGCAACGATAAGAATATATTTGGGACTAAATTAAAATCGAGGGCAAAGTTATTTTATTTCGCGGCAAATATAAGTCAATCTAGCAACGGTATATTTTCAACTGGTAACTTGATTTAATTGCTGATGAGAATGACAGGTGTTGGGTTATTGCATACAGTCTGGCAAATTTTGTATTACATTATATTATAATTTTATGATCGGTTGCTTTCTTTTAGCTGTTTTTTTCCCGCACATCAAATGTTTATGGAGCGAGAGAACAAGATAATGACGATGAACGGTAAATTGAATTTAAAATTTAAAGTTTATTATAGATTTTGAATCTAATTCAAAGCTAATTCGAGATATGAAGATTGTCTAACACAATATAAAAAGACTAAGATAATGCCAATGAACAGTAAATGATTTTGTTATGTTCAATTTTATTTTTTATATTTTTAAACTCGATATGAAATTTTTAAAAGAAAAAAAAAACTTAATCTTGTGGTCTTATACTATATATATATTTATAATGTACCAAAATGTATTTTAATTTCGAGGTCATAACCAGAACGACTGAGAGACATTTTCTTTAAAATGAACTAAAAAAGAAAGTATGACAAAAAACGCACAATTGATGGAATGGATAGGAGTAGGACCAGTTACAATTTAGTATTTATTTTCTGTAGTAGATTTTTCACAGCAATATCAATTGATTGCCTAATTATAATAAACTTAGGACGAAGGGGGTCATTGTCAACAGAGAATAAATTTTGTCTTGTACTATTACTGTTGGTGGATGCAGGTAATATGGACTACAGTAGTATTTCAATTTCAATTCTGACATAAATGATTAGTAGGCATACCTACCAACTAAAGAAATGGTGACCATAAAATGGAAAATAATGAAATATGGTGTCGGCTAATAATATTATTTCGTCTCATTTTATGAGACACATTTTTCTTTTTAGTCTGCATGAGTCTTATTTCTTAGATCCAACTTGTGAGATAATTGTATATATTGTTGTTAATATTTATTCTGATCTCAAATGTTGACATACAAAAACTGCCAAATTGGGATATTAAAGTGCAGTTTACAAAGTAAAAAGAATTTACTACAAATACAATACATTATCGTTTTGCATAAGGGCCCCAAGTCACGTGACTGTGGCCAAGTTGCATAGAGTTTGTGTTCTTCAATAATTTGGTTAGCAAACCAAAACCAAAACGTAATTAATTATAGATTTTTCTACTTTCAAAATCTTGATATTTTCTTGTTATTTTCTAGTGTTACTAGAATAATGACTATCTAGAAGACATACATGTGATGCCATGCCCATTCAAATTATTGATACTTATCAGACAATGTTATCTTGTCCTTAATATTTTTGCTTTTTTAAAATTGTGATTTCTCAGAATAATTTAAAATTGTAGCAGAGATACAATAATACTATAATAGTATGTATTAGTGTTTTGAAAGGAGGGGCTGTGAGGCAGAACAATGTTTTACTTAGCACGAGGTGAAGCGTAAGCTTCAAATTAAGCACGGGTAAGATCTTAATTTTTTTAATTTATAACATAGTAAAATATAATAAATTAATACGAATATTATAAAAGAAAAATTACTATAAGTTTCTAAAAAATTTAAAACACGAATAAAGAAATTGATAAAAAGCAAAATTTCTAATATGATTTTTATAAGTAAAAATAATACAATGATATATATAAATATTACTATATGCAAATCAAGGCAAATATTTAAAAACGAGTTAGGGATTGATTCCTCGTGTAACTCATTTAAATTGAGAAGTGTTTGAAGTTTCTTTTGATTATTATTAGTCAGATCATCTTGATTTCATCGTATATATCATTGACTGTCTTAGTGTATGTCATATGTATACTTACTGTCGCCAAACATTTTCATAAAACTTCATTATAGATTTTCTTTGAGTAAAAAAAAATCAGATAAGTCCTATCGTGAATAGTCTTCAAGTTTATAATTAAAAATAGACCATTGCTAATTTACGAAGGGTACTGACTTTTTGAGAAGGTTATGTATCTTTTTTTAATGTATATAAATTGATTCGAAAGTTGTCACTTTTGTCAATCAAAAATAGAATATGCCACTCAATTATTTAAGTTTGATTAATGGAGATATGGTGGCTGGATTCAATTAATAAATGGACGCTGCTGAGAGTGATGTTACTTTATCAAATAAAATTTTAACTGTTTGATGTAATAAAGAAGATTAATGGCAGTTCAACCAATGCTTAACTTGCCAATTAAGCTAATATGGACTCCTTTGAACAACTGAATTAGAGTTATTATTATTTTTTGGAAAAACTTATGTGAATTTGAAAACAGACGTATTTATTTTTAGTAAGTAATAAACTTTCTTTATTTGAAATGCAAACTAACCAAACTGATATTTTTTTAATTAAAAACTATATTTAAAAATCAAATATTTTCTCAGATAGTCAAGTACGAAAATTTCCTAAAGTCTTTTTTTCAAAACCAAATCCAAGCATCACCATAGTCCATAGACCATAGGTTGCGGCTTTTACTAAGACAAGATTAAATAATAAAGGGGCGCAAAGCTTGTCCTTCCCCATTTCAAATTATTCAAGGGTAAAATTGATTTTTTCTTTAATTTTAGAATAATTATCCGTAATAAAGGTATTTTTTGTTATAAAATCAAGTTCAGAACAATATAATTATAAAGAGAAGAAGACAATATAAGTAGATGAAGGAGAAATTTTTTCTTCATATTCAAGTGTGTCCTACAAATGGTGAATGGTATCTCTATTTATAGTGTTGAGATATCACCCCAAATGTCATAATGTTAAATGCACAAACAAGTAGGTACATAGTTATCCACGAAGGTTCATATCACCTTGGAAAAATACATGCATGAATTCAAGTAATCTATATATAATATAAAGGAGTATGTTCATCCCGCTGAAGTGGCATGCCTTAATAATCAAAAAAAGGTATTTATCTATTTTCTTAGAATTTAGACATTTTTTTCTCTATTTTTTACACAATTGTATTATTAATAATTATTAACTACTGATCAATTATACCTTCCTATAAATAAAGAATTCCAAAGGCTATCATTTTGCCGTTTTTAAATTGTACTCATTTGATTACCTATAATCAATATTTACTTCCCCATAATTAGTGTGCTTAATTATCAAAAAAAATAGTTACAGAATTTCATTAAAAAAATCATCCACTTAATTGCAGCTCTTTAATGAAAAAGGTAATGCACCATTTCAGCTCTTTAATATTTTAATTACTCTCTTTCCTTTTATTAGCATCTATTACATTTAATTTTTCCTTCCAAATATAACTGCTAAGTACATAATGATGCAAAAATACCTAATTGACTACAAATTAGCACTACTTGCAAACGTTTCACTTTTTTTTTTTTTTAAAATATACGGTAGTTCTGAACAAATTCCTGGATAAGAAACCTAAAGGTTTTCTTCTTGATGAGATTCACTATTTTTTTAAAAATATTTTCAACATTAATGATTATATTTAAACAAAATTATAATTGCAACATTAATGATTATATTTAATATTTTTTATAATTGCAACATTAATGATTATATTTCATTTCTAATAGCTATTTAAACTCCGTTCATCCTCACTATTTTCCTAAGCATATTCTCCCTACAACTAATTAAATTTCTTTTACTTATTCTTCCTTTTAGAAACAAGAGGTCATTCCTTGGGGTGATATTCGGCTAAAAATATATATTAATATTACGTTATTGTCTTATATTTTATGCATCATTTTTTTTGAGTGTTTTGAACTTATTATGAATTTTATGTGATATTCGGCTAAAAATATATATTAATATTACGTTATTGTCTTATATTTTATGCATCATTTTTTTTAGTGTTTTGAACTCATTGTGAATTTTATGTGCAACAAATGTATTGAATGAACGTGAATACATGATAAAAAAAGATGTGATTTTTGCTTCTTTTGAAGCAAAGAAACGAAGATTGAAGGATGACTAAGTCCTCACCTTGCGAGACACACAAGTGAAATAAATAAATAAGAGATTTTAAAATTGATCTAGTTCGCCACTGATTCTTTGGAAGTATAATTCAAGAAAGATTATTTGTTAATATATGTCTTCCAACTAATTGTATTCTCCTTGTGAATTATCATAATTTTATTTATTTTTAAAGTTTCATCATTGAAATGATCTAATTTTTCATAAATATAATAGAAATTTGTTTCATAGAAAAATGTGTACTTTTACAAATTACACTTTGAATGTCCAAGATTTTTCTTCTATAGTTTGAATTAGTTAAATTATTCCAATTCATATAAATGTTGAAAACTTGAAATAGTGTGAGAATTCAAAAGTATAATTTTGAGAAACGTTAAGAGGAACTGAGGAAGTGACAAGAAGATTCTGAAAGCAATTAGAGAAGAAATGCATTACTTTTGGCTAAGAAATTTTCTTGCTGGACAAATTGAGGTTAAAATTTCATGACATGATCTTCATCAACATATTATTTAACTCTTACACATTATAAATTAGTAGATGATAAATATATCATTAACTTAAAAATTTATAAAGTTAGATTTAATTTTTTTCTTTTACTTTGTAATCTATACATAAAGTGATAGTGTTTTTTTTATATGATATGGGCTATATTAACAAATATTTTTTTAATGTTAATATATTTACATTCAAAAATTAGAAAAGTTTGTAATCGACAATTAGATTTTAAAAAAAATTTAAGCTATAAACATAATTAATTATGAAATAGGTGATTTTCAAAGTTTTGGAACTAATTTGAGAAAATATTTAAACTTGTATACATAAATACATGAAGATTTCATCCATTAATCTATTATATCATAGCTAAA